GGGAGAACCTAAGGGCTTATGGGACTTTGGGAAGAAGACTGGGACAATATTCAGAAAGGAGGGCAAAGAAAGTGCAGTTGTGGAATGAACTCAGACCCCTCATACCCCAGCCCCCTTCCTGCTTGTTTTCTGTCCTCAGGACTCATCTTGTGAACATAGATCAAGACACTTACAGGTAAAGAGGTGGAGGCATGCTGCTGTCTCTGGGGAGGGAGAAGGATTAAATTTAATGCCCCAGTAATCCTAATGAGGCTCTAGTTTCCCTAATCCTGGGGCTATTAAGATCTCTCTCCTTGAAGGAAAGGGAAGGGGGGCTTTGAGGGAAAGAGAGGAAGAAAAGCATAAAGATATTAACTTTCTTTCTATAGGGAGAAACTGAGACAAAGAAAAGTAAGGGACAAACCTTACATCAAGATGTGATCTCGGCTGGGCTCGGTGGCTCGTGCCTGTAATCCCCGCACTTTGGGAGGCCAAGGCGGGTGGATTGCCTGAGGTCAGGAGTTTGAGATCAGCCTGACCAATATGGTGAAACCCCGTCTCTACTAAAAATACAAAAATTAACTGAGTGTGTTGTGCGCCTATAATCCCAGCTACTCAGGAGGCTACGGCAGGAGGATTGCTTGAACCCAGGTGGCAGAGGTTGCAGTGAGCTGAAATTGCACCACTGCACTCCTGGGTGACAGAGCAAGACTCCAAAAAAAAAAAAAAAAAAAAGATGTGAACTCAGGAGGATATCCCCTGTCCCCATTCCATTTCTCAGTCCTCAATTCTTATTCCCTTCAAAAGTCCAGATTACCCCAAACTCCTCCATTTCTCCTTGACAGTGTTCTACAGATTTTTAAGAGCGAGTCTCACCCCTCAGCATACAAAGTGGCCAGTGGACTGAAGGAGGGGCTCAGCCTCTTTGGTAGGTATGCCCCATCCCTCATCTCACATTACAAAGACCTACCAGAAAAGCAATTGGCTCCAAAGATGTGTCCCAGCCTCCCTTCCCACTTCACTCCCATTGTCAGATATCTCTTTCATGCCAATCCAACTTCTTACCTCTTAGTACCCCCCACCACCCAAGCTTGAGCATCTTCCCATACTTTGTGACTGTACAGTGTTGCGTATTAGCCATTACCTTACCAATTCTGTGTTCCTTCCCTGGGTTTGTATGAACGTTTCTACTAGTTGGGTACCTGTTAGGGACTTTGGGAGGCCTTGTATATAGAGGAGAGCTTTGTAACTGCATAAGTATTTGATTTGTATAGTCTTTATCAGTTGTCTCTGGCTTTAGGGTATATTAGGGACATCTCCACAAATATCCATATGGTTTCATATCTCAGTAAGTTGTGTCCAGTTTTTGTGTGTGTGTGAGAGAGACAAAGTTTTGCTCTTGTCCCCCAGGCTGGAGTGCAATGGCGCAATCTTGGCTCAGTGCAACCTCTGCCTCCTGGGTTCAAGTGATTCTCCTGCCTCAGCTTCCCGAGTAGCTGGGATTATAGGCACCTGTTACCACGCCTGGCTAATTTTTGTATTTTTAGTAGAGACGGGGTTTCACCATGTTGGCTAGGCTGGTCTCGAACCCCTGACCTCAGGTGATCCACCTGCCTTGGCCTCCCAAAGTGCTGGGATTACAGGCATGAGCCACCGCACCCGGCCGTCCAGTTTTTTACATATGTGTGTTGGGCTCTTGAGTTTTTTGTTTTTGTTTTGTTTTTGTTTTGTTTTGTTTTGTTTTTTTAGATGGAATTTTGCTCTGTCACCCAGGCTGGAGTGCAGTGGTACAATTTCGGCTCACTGCAACTTCCGCCTCTTGGGTTCAAGTGATTCTCCTGCCTCATCCTACCTCAGCCTCCTGAATAGCTGGAACTACAGGCCCGCACCACCACACCCAGCTAA